GGGCGGGGCTGCTCGCCGAGGGGGCTCCGCGGGGCCGGGGGCGGCTCGGGTGGGTCCCGAACGCCTCTCACCCCCCGGGCCGCTGAGAAGGGAGGTTTCCTTGGGGATTTCCTTACGGTTTCGCCGGGATTTTCTTTGCTTAAATAGAAAGGCATGGGGCTTGGAAAAGGGGTGCACGCCCTGCAAGCGGTCCCCACATGGGACTGAATCTCTCCAGAAATAGGTGCGGCACGGCAATTGCCGCGGAGCGGGGAGGGCTGGGGTGAGGAAGACCATTTAAAGAGGTCCCGACACGTTCACCGCTTTCTCCCTGCCCGTCCCCAGGAGCAGCCAGTGTCTGGTGCTCAGCCTGTTCCCGCTTCCCGGACCTGAGCCTCCCATCACCTGAAATGCAGCGCTCTCCCCCCCGCCGCCCCCGGCAGCCTCATTAGCCAGCCTTGTAGTTTGTGTTTGCTCTCCCCTTTCCTTAGTTCCACTCGCTTACTGCACTTTTGCAAATTTGTTTTGAGATCACTTTACCAGAGGAGCCGGGGGCTCTTAAGGGATACTAATTACAGATTTTTTTTTTCTTCCCGAGTGACAGGGTCTTCCATCCTTTCTTCCCCTTCCCCCAAAATATTCAAGGAAAAAGGAAACGAATTTTCCTAGCTCCTCAAAGACTTTTGGGGAAAGGCACGTTTCTTAACAACCCCAGCCCCGCTGGATGGGGAGTTAAAGCTGCGAGCTAAAGCTCTGCACGCCGGGAGAGCGGGACCCAGGGGGATGGCACGGGAGATCCACGGTGCATGCGTGGAGATAAACCCCTGAAAGACGATCACAACTGCAACCGGCACTTGAAAGATCCAGTTTATTTGCGGATAAAGCATAATTCTGTAAACAGGACTATTTTAGCTAGCGCAAACGTGGAGTTTGCCCAGTGAAGAGCAGAAGCCAGTGCCGAGCAGAACCCCTCCTGAGGGAGGCTTCTTGGGAAAACAATAGGGAACTGCCGTGTTTCAGATGTGGCCCAACTACCCCAACCTGCACCTCGGAGCGGCAGGAGCCTGCAGTTCTGAGCTTTCCCCTTTCTGTAACTTTACTCCTTTATCAGCTCCCTGCTTTTCCTACAGTATTCATTTCAAAGGGGGCTCCCCCCGTTTATGGCCCCAAATAAACCGAAGCGGTACAGATGTAGCCTTCCCCAGCCTTTAGATAATTACGCATCTGCTCGTAGGAAGAAGGGTGTGTACATGTTAGGGTTGTGGGGGTTTTTTGTTTGTTGGTTTTTTTTTTTTTTTTAGGAAAAGTTTTCGCCTAAGAGTAGAAATCCGCCTTTTGGGGGTGCAAGGAGCCGACGGGGTCTCTGCAGCCCGCTCCCGGCCGCTCTCCGCCTGGCCCGGGCGGCTGGGAAGGCTGTCCAGCCCTCCGCGCTTCTGCAAGACGCCTCTCTAAGGAGGTGTTCCCTTCGGGGAGCCTTGCTCCCTTGAGGAGCGGCCCCTTGAGACAACCGGATCGCCATGCCCTCGCGTTACCTCTTCCTGAAGAGAGGTTAATTGAAGACGCCTTTTCCCTGGGCACACAGACCGGCTCCGTAGCGTTTGAACCGCTGCTGGGTCACTCGCTCTCCGTTTGAGTTAACCTAGGTCACATAATTTTATTCCCAGGTAGGGAAGGTTTCCTTTGCCTTCTCATAATATTTTCCTCAACTACAAAAGCCACCTGGATGAAACCAAAGGATTCCTGCCCGTTAGCAAATGCCTGTTAAATGGCTTCATTACCACTCTAATGACCCTTGCACCGCTCCGCTCAGCTACTGCTGCGGCTGGAGCTCTGCAAAGCTTTTGTCCCCGGCTTGTGTAAAGTTACTTAGGGGTTAGAAACTTTACACTTCCAGGAGGGGTTTGTTGCACTGGCAGCTGGGACGCATCTGTAACGGTACAAGTTTGCCTGAAAGCAGAAAATTAGCAAGCCCAAGGCACTGCTCGACTGTTGTGTCTCTAGCAGCACCAGGTCACACGAGTAGGAGAAAGAACGGGAAGGGGATTTGTCTCGGAGCAAACACGTACATTTTTCTTTTGTGAATACCTTCCCCGACAGCACTAAAATCTGGGCTTCCCCCCCTCCTCGTCTCTCCTGGCCACACGTAGCTATGCATTTTTGTCCTCTGTAAATTTGAACGGTTGGTGACACAGGTTTAATTACAGGACAAGGCTCTCCCCGAGATAAATGAACAAATCTTAGGCCTGAAAAGAGGGATGAATTGTTTCAGGTTAGACCTGGACCACGGGCTGTGGGGAATAAAGATACACAAACAGACACTGTAGGTGCTGGGGTGGGGCTCTACGTTAGTTCCGCCTCGGGGAGAGCCGGTGTCCATCCCGCCGCAGCGTGGGATGGGAGATGGGAACACAGGGACGAGGAACAGCTCTGCAGGAGATGTCAGCGGTTCGTGCGCGTCCACTGCCCCCCTTTCTCTTTCCATCCCCAAACTGCAAATTCCCAGCCTCCGTTTAAAGTTCGGAGATGTCGCAACCAGTTCTGGGGAGGTCGTGCGTTAGAGGAGTGCCCAGCTCACCGCTCTCCAAAGGAGCGGTGCCGAGCAAATTGTCTGCTGGGGGCTGGAGGGGGCTTGCCCAGACGGCCCCCGGCAGGGGATGTGGTGAGATATGCTAATAAAGACCGGCCGCCGCGGACCAGCCTCCCTTTACATGTGTATATAAGGGCCCCCCGCCTCAGCCAAAGGCCACTTCGGCTCAGGTCGCTAATTGCTGAGGGAATTGCCCCAGCGCGCTGCTGAGCGCCTCGCCGAGAGCCGGTGGCTGCCGCCCCGCACTGACGCCTCCGCTGCAGGGATGGAGGTGATAGACAGCTGCCAGTTCTCCCCCTCCGAGCTCTTCTATGACAGCTCCTGCCTCTCCTCCCCGGAGGGCGAGTTCCCCGAGGATTTCGAGCCCAGGGACCTGCCTGCCTTCGGCGCCCACGAGCCCCCCGAGCCCGCCTGCTCCGAGGAAGAGGAGCATGTCCGAGCTCCCACCGGCCACCACCAGGCCGGCCACTGCCTCATGTGGGCTTGCAAAGCCTGCAAGAGAAAATCCACAACGATGGACCGGCGGAAGGCGGCCACCATGAGGGAGAGGAGGAGGCTGAAGAAAGTGAACCAGGCTTTTGAGACCCTGAAGAGATGTACCACTGCCAACCCCAACCAAAGACTCCCCAAAGTAGAGATCCTGAGAAACGCCATCAGATACATCGAGAGCCTCCAGGAGCTCTTGAGGGAACAGGTAGAAAACTACTATCACCTGCCGGGACAGAGCTGCTCCGAACCGACCAGCCCCACTTCCAGCTGCTCCGATGGGATGGTAAGAGAGGGGCAGGAGCGATGGGGCTGTGGGGACCCCAGGAGGGCCCGCGGGCAGGTCCCCCTCGGCCCAGCGTCGTGGAACCGGTCCCATGGGCGTGGGACGGGCCGAAGGCAGCCGGACATCAGGAACAGGCGGGCGGTTCGCGTTAAAACAGGCCCCTTCTCCGATGTAACGCTGAGCATGCACATGGGCGTGCCGGGAACGCATGGGGGGACGGTAGCGCTGCCAAGCAAGCGCCCCAGCCCCCGGGGGCTCGTCTTTGTGTCCCGTCCCCCCCCCCAGCTTAGCGCGGCGCGGCAGAGGGGTAAGTGAAGAAATTTTTCCTAATATCCAATCTAAACCTCCCCTGGCACAACTTGAGGCCATTTCCTCATTGGGTTCTAATTCAGACTTTATTTAAATAAATTTATTTAGAAAACTAGACCAACGTTTCAGTTTTTGCCTTGCAACCTGAGAGAAAGGTGCTGGTTTTTTCCTTGGTATTGCCACAGCAGACAGTAATGACTACCAGCACTTGGAAATAGTTCATTAAGTTCAGAGTCCGTATTAATATTTATGGATTTGTCCCAGTCTGTATCAGGCCGTGTAACAGAAACCTCCTCACAGGCAGGGTATTCTTACGTGACACAGATTTTAGCACTGTCACAGAAAATATCCCTGCACACCGGGCTGCAAGACCAAACGCCTGTTACAGAGGGAATTCCTTAAGGTGAGAAGGAAACGCTGAACTCGGAACTAGCTGTTCTTCTCACGTATCCGAACGACAGCAAGGTCTTCAGTTCAACAGAAACCGGCTTCAAAACCCGAATTAAAAACTGCGCAACGCCCATCCGGTGCGGGGCCCGGTCCCCACCGCGGCCACCGGCCGCTGCCCTCCCCCCGGGGCCGCCCCCCTCGCCCGGCCGCGTCCTGCAAACGCTGCGCCGGTGAGAAGGGCAGCCCCGGCTCCGCTTGGCTCCCCGCCTCCCTCCGCGGCTGGGGGCTCCGGCCCGGGGTCCCCCCGGGGCAGACAGGCCCTGGGGCTCGGGATATACGCGCTACCCTGGAAACCCCGCTGCAAATAAAACGTGCTGTAAGAGAGCTGTCTGGCCTGCTGGTTCTTGAAGTGCATTCCCTGGTATTGGGGAGGGCAGCGAGACCCGGCTGCGGGGTGCCCGCCAGCATCCGTGTTCAGCCCCAGCCCAGGCTCGGTCCCCCCCGTTCCTGCCTGCGTTGGGACCTGCCTCCTCACGGCGGGGGTTCCTGCCTGCGTTGGGACCTGGCCCCTCACGGCGGGCCCGGGCCGGGAGATGGAGCGTCGGGCTGGGCTGGGGCCTGGGAGCTTGTTTCTCCCATCCCCAGTGGGTATTATGCTGAGGCGGCTCATGGAGGGACAAAAATGTGGCCGGTCAAATTCTCCCTCCATTCCTGTCCTGCTATGGGCAGAGTTTCTTTTATTTTCTGCAAGGGTAAAAGTAATATTTCCTTTTTTAAAAAGTCATCCTGCTTCCCCCTGCCTCCCCCTGCCCGGCAAAGCCCTTGTTTCTTTCCCTGGGTATGAAGACTGAACACATATTTCAGGATTTGGCCCTAACATTGCATGGTGACTCTCGTCTGTAAAACAACTGTATGATCTAGCTCTGATACCCTGTCGGGGAATTTTACTCTCAGTCACTCTCAGTGCTCTGGCAGAGACAAATTTAGTAAAGTTAGTAAGAACAAACCACAAGTATCTCTTTCACAATCCACAAGGTACATTGCCCAATATTCAGAAAGCAATATAGATCTATTTGTTCCTAATGACTTTGGTCCCACCAGCCAGGATGAAAATTCATTACTCTGTTTACATTGGTCTACAAATAGCCAGGTCAAGTCTTCGTGAGTTTGAAAGTTAACAAGTATTTCCTTCCAGTTAACAGTATTTCCTTCCAGTCTAAGTTTTTGTACCATGAAAAATTTCCAGCCCTTTGCACTGCTCTAGTTCTAATCCAAAACTTTTCTAGCCCCCCCTAAAAAGACAGAGATGAGATGGAGAGATGGGCTCCTTCAGTGCATCCAGAAATGTCCCCTATGCCGAACACTCTGAGTGGGAAGGGATATATACCTCACCAGCGTGGGATAAGAACTTACTTGCCATTTGTGTTTATGTTGTTAGCACCAGGTGGCCAAGTGGCCTGGAAGTGGTATTTCACCTCTGATAAATCTTTCACTTGAACCCAGCCCAGCTTAGTCATGTCACCCAGAGTTACACCTGACTGCTCTTTGGCAGCATCTCTGAACTGAGGATGAAGGAAGCCTAGCTTAGGGATGGCCCCATCCTTGCAGCGCGCCGAGGGGCTGCATCCCCCCCAAAATGCTACAAAGTGAGGTGGCACCTACCTGCCCAAGCCGCTCCACTGCGCAGCAGGCAGCTGCGCTTCTGACACAGGGCCAGGCCAGCCTGCCCCCTCCTGCGCGCCTTCCCTCAAAATCACTCTCTGCCCTTGCTGCGTAACCTTGAGGTAAGTGTTTTCTTTCCCGCACAGTAATTCAGGAGGACCGTTTTCCAGCATGGGCTTTCTGTGTACAGAGATAGGTCCCAAGTAATCACTGAGTAGAAAAAGTGGTTTGAAAACCCTGGATTGAGGTCGTGCAGAGGTACAAACAAGGTATTCGCACACTCTTGTCATTATAGATGCTTCAGGAGTATGGAAGTGCCCTAACTCAAACACAGTCTTTCTTGGTTATGGGCGATCGCTTCCTGAGCCTTCTGTTCATAGAAATCTTTGTGCAAGACTGTGAACACCACTGATTTTATTCATGATTTCTCACCCATTGCTGCAGGGCTGCAGTGCTCACTCCTCTCAACCAAAATACCGTCCCAAGGATGCTGCTTATGGTCAGGATCTAATACAGTGCAGATCATTTTAAATGATGGTTTAAAATGAGCTAAGCTGGAGAACTTTCAGCATTTCATTCTGCACTGTGCTGACCTTGGCAAGCGATTGCCTGTGAAGTATGCAGAGTAACACTAGCAAATCACATGTTGGTAATGTACACCTCTCTTTGGCTGGCAGACATTTTAAGAGTTGCAAAAAGGTCAATACTTCTGAGAAGGAGCTTTTCAGAGAGTGAGGAGAAGTATCCCCTCTGTGGGATGTTTGTCCACAGTCGCCTCAGTCCTACTAGGCTAGATTACAAACTGAGGGTTTTGTTATACACACCAAGAAAACAAACTCTTAATTACAGGACATCTATAAACAAAGATCCTGTAAGCTGAAATGTGCTGTAATCCTCAGAAGGAGTGGAAGTTAGCATTGTGAAACCACCTTTAGCCCGTGGATTGGGAAGAACAAGGTGTAAAAATCTGCTGTCTTGGGATATACGCCGTTGTGGTCAGATTTTGCATATTCAATAATAATAAGTGTAACTGAAAAGAAAGATTTGTATTCTGCGTGAATCACGTTCATTTAAGGAAGCCTGTGCCCAGAAATACATGAGAAGATGATGGTCTAGAAAACCTGAGCTCCGTCTCTCTCAACTCCAACTACCTGGCTGAGCGCTGCAGGCTCTGTCATGGCACGCAGGGATCTCGCAGGCAGGCAGGCAGGTGGAGGGATGCCTCGTAGTGTCAGAATAACGTAACACAGAAGCTGCAAGTTTTCTGACTATCACCCACTGCAATGAAGGGCATAATTCTATGCAATTTTAAAAACAAATTTTCTTTTTATTTTAGTTTTACCTCTGAAAATCATGCTTTCTTGGCTTATATGCTGACCGAGGGAGGCAGCTGTGCTTTTTTTTTGTGTGTGTGTGTGTGAAAAGCTTCTTGTATCTTTTCTCTTTTGTAAAGAAACCAAGCAGAGATCTTCAGTGAAATACATATTTTAATCTCAGATCAGAAGGCCCACTGCATATTACAAAACTAGCATAGGAACCTAGCAAAGATCTCTTAAATACAACATGAAGACAAAAATCCTGCTTGCTCTGTGTTTGTATTTCTGAGTTGCTTGTGTGGAAAAACACTCCTTTTCCCTGTAGGAAAAGATCAACCTCTTTCTTCTCCTGTGGTAAGGCTTAAAAGTGATAAACTTTTATTAATCAGTTCTTGGAGGATGGAGGGGTCTTAATTCATACTGTTTGTCAAAATATGCCTAGGAACACCCCAAATTCATGGCTGCATTTTAGGGGAAATTCAGCATCTTCACCTTCCCAGCTCAGCCTGCTTGTCAGGAGCAGTCAGACTTAACCACAGCAGGCAGCTGACTTCTCCCCACCCCAGACCAGCTCCCTCCCCTCCTCCTCCTCCTCATCCTCCTCCTCTGCAGAGCCCTTGACTCGCTCATCACTTCTCCTTACTCTTCTCAGCTGGACCTTGGGGTCCCGCAGGAGGACCCGCAGCTGGCCAGCTGATGACTGCTGACCTTTGGCAGGCTCTGCATGGGGTATCAGCCTTACAGCTGGCCACAACTGCCTTCCTGGCAACTAAAGAGCTAATGAGCTTGGCCAGCTGGAGACTGGGCTGGGATCCTGCTGGCTAATTTGACCCTGTGTGAGGGATGGAGTTCATCCCCAAATGCGGAGGGGGCAAGCAGTGTATCTGTCCACGTGCTGCCCTGGGGCACCAGGGCCAGGCTCCTCTTGCAGCCAACTGATTAGTGGAATGAGTAAAAAAGAGACTGCAGAGCTGTTGCTCGTGTGCTTTATTTGAGTTTTCTGTTGAGTATTTGCTTAGGCTTCACTAGTGACCTTCTTTACCCTCACTATGTCTCATGCTGTTCTCTCCATCCAGTCCAAGAGATAAACCCATCCACCAGACCAGGGCTGGACTGAGGGAGTTATTCCCCTTCCCAAACACAGTGGGATGCAGTTTCTCTTCATTCGACAGGTGCCCCGCTTGCCCTCCTGCAGGAGGTTATGCATCCTGGATGCTCACGGACCTCACCAAACCCACTGTACTGCAGAGTCCAGCTACTTTCTCAAAGGTCTTCTGCTTTCTGCTCCCCAGACCAGCTGACAGGCACCATCCAGTCCTGGAGTCTGGTTTCATTTTGAGCATTAGTAACATTTACAGACTGCCTGGCAATCTGCTGGAAGATGTTGGTGGCTATGATGCAAAAGGCATTGCTGAGCTGTGCTTGAAGAAGGTGATAGTGGGCATGATATACAAGGGTCAGCAAGCCCAGTGAGAGATCAGAAAGGTAGTTCAGTATCTGCATTAAATCAAGTGCATTTGAATCTGATACTCTCCGAGAGGCCTTCAAAGCTGGAGTAGCAGCAGAGGAATAAATGTGTGGGTTTTCTCTTTATTTCTCTGATCTTCTTCTATGAATATATGCTTTTGGACTGATAATATTTTCTGTTTTAAAAGGCCATATAACACATATGTTAAGCAAAAATTAAATCCTGCAAAGAAACCCTAAAACATTTAGTTCTGATTTGTTTGTTGTTGTTGAAGTGCCAAATCCTACTGCTTGCAGTGGGACTCAGCTACCTAGCAGGGAGGGACTTGGGAACCCAGCAGAGGTCTGACTGGAATATAAAACTCAAACTGGTGTGCCTGCCTATACATTATAGGGAGGCAAAATGTGGATTAAATGAAGTTTGAATTCAGCCCATTGCCTTTGATTATTTGATTCCACAGAATTTCTTAGATTAATAAATCACTAACTCCTTAATTAACGGTGAGCAAACAATGACTATAACTTCAGTTACACCTGTGTATAGATCAGTGCAAAGACCTCATTAGCAAATGCACCACTGCTCCAGCAAGAGGCTCATTATTTTTGTAAATGGAAGTATTTCAATCTGCTGAAAAACAGTTCCGTTCCCCTCATTTCCATGTTTTAAGTAA